GGACGGGGGGGGAGGGACGGGGGGAGGGGACGGGGGGGGGGGGGGGACGGGGGGAGGACGGGGGGGGAGGACGGGGGGAGGGGACTGGGGGAGGACGGGGGAGGACGGGGGGGAGGGACGGGGGGGGAGGTAATGGGGAGGGACTGGGGGGAGGGGACGTTTGTTAGTTCACTTTTTTAGTTACTTTTTAAGTTACTTTTTTTATTTTTAGTTACTTTTTTAGTACTTTTTTAGTTACTTAGTTACTTTTTTTAGTTACTTTTTTTAGTTTACTTTTTTTAGTTACTTTTTTTAGTTACTTTTTTAGTTACTTTTTTAGTTACTTTTTTAGTACTTTTTTTAGTTACTTTTTTTAGTTTTTTTTTAGTTACTTTTTTAGTTACTTTTTAGTTACTTTTAGTTACTTTTTTTAGTTACTTTTTTAGTTACTTTTTTTAGTTACTTTTTTTAGTTACTTTTTTTACTTTTTTTAGTTCCTTTTTTTAGTTACTTTTTTTCGTTCCCTTGGGCAGGACGTGGGCCGGGACGTGGGCAGGTGACTGGGGCAGTGCCGGGGGCAGGGCCGGGGCAGGACGGGTCCCAGGGGACGGGCCAGGGTACGGGGCCAGTGACGGGGCCAGGCGGGCCGGGACTGGGCCAGGGGTACGGCCAGGGACGGGACAAGGGGACTGGGCCTGTGGACGTGGCCCGGGGACGGGGGGGGGGGACGGGGGGAGGGGACGGGGGAGGTGAGGGGGGGGGACGGGGGGGAGGACGGGGGGAGGGACGGGGGGGAGGGACGGGGGAGGACGGGGGGAGGGACGGGGGGGAGGGACGGGGGTGGAGGGACGGGGGGAGGGACTGGGGGGAGGACGGGGGGGGAGGGGCGGGGGGGGGACGGGGGAGGGACGGGGGGGAGGGGGGGGAGGGACGGGGGGGGGGGGGGGGTACGGGGGGGGGGACGGGGGGAGGGGGGGGGGGAGGGACGGGGGGGAGGGACGGGGGGGGAGGGACTGGGGGGAGGGACGGGGGGGAGGGGACTGGGGGGGAGGGACGGGGGGGGGGGGGGACGTGGGGTGGGGGACTGGGGTAGGGACGGGGTAGGGACGGGGGCGGGCACTTGGGGCCAGGACGGGGGAGGGGCCAGGGACGGGGCCAGGACGGGGGGGGCCAGGGACGGGCCAGGGACGGGGCCAGGGACTGGGCCAGGCGGGGCCAGGGACGGGGGGGGACGGGGGGGGGGGACGGGGGGAGGGGACGGGGGGAGGGGGGGGGGGAGGGGGGGGGGGACGGGGGGGAGGGACGGGGGGGAGGGGGGGGGGGGAGGCGGGGGGGAGCGGGGGAGGGGGGAGGTGGGGGGGGTTGGGGGGACTGGGGGGAGGGACGGGCGGGGAGGGGGGTGGGGGGACGGGGGGGGACGGGGGGAGGACGGGGCAGGGGGGGGACGGGGAGGGACGGGCCAGGGACCAGGGACGGGCAGGGACGGGGCCAGGGACGGGGGGGAGGCGGGGCCAGGACGGGGGTGGGACGGGCCAGGGACGGGGGGGAGGGCGGGGCCCAGGGACGGGTCAGGGGCCATGGTGGGGCCGGCGTTTTAGACGGGGAGGGACTGGGGGAAGGGCTGGGGGAGGACGGGGGAGGACGGGGGGGGCGGGGGGGCAGGGACGTTGCAGACGGGGCAGGGACGGGGGGGGGCCGGGACGGGGCAGGGACGGGGGCGGTGCGGGGAGACGGGGCGAGGGACGGGGTCGGAGGGACGGGGAGGGGAGGGACGGGCGAGGACGGGCGGAGGACTGGCGGGGACGGCGAGGGACGGGGCGAGGGACGGGGTCAGAGTAGGGCGGAGGGACGGGGCGAGGGACGGGGCGAGGACGGGCGAGGTACTGGTCCAGGACGGGCCAGGGCACGGTGGCAGGACGGGGCGAGGGACGGGCGAGAGGACGGTGCGAGGGACGGGCGAGGGGACTGGGCGGAGGACGGGTCGAGGGACGGGCGAGGGACTGGGGGCGAGGGTCTTTTCGATGGACTGGGCGGAGGGGACGGGCGGAGGGACGGGGGCGAGGTACTGGGCGAGGGGACGGGGCGAGGACGGGGGGGGAGGGACGGGGGGCGGTACGGTGGGAGGGGACGGGGAGGGACTGGGCGAGGGACGGGCGAGGGCGGGGCGAGTGACGGTCGATTACTTGGCCAGGGACGGGCCAGGCCGGGCCAGGGACGGGCCAGGGCGGGGCCAGGGACGGGGCCAGGACCGGGGCCAGGGGACGGGGGGGGGAGGGACGGGGGAGGGAGCGGGGGGGAGTACGGGGGGGAGGGGGACGGGGGAGGTGACGGGGGTGAGTTACTGGGGGGAGGGAGGGGGGGGAGGGGGGGACGGGGGGAGGGACGGGGGGAGGTACGGTGGGGAAGGGACGGGGGGAGGGATCGGGGGGAGGGGGACGGGTGGGGGACTGGGGAGGGGCGGGGGGTGGGGCCGGGGGGGCCGGGGACGGGCCAGGGACGGGGCCAGGGACGGCAGGGACGGGCCAGACGGGGGCAGTTACGGGGCCAGGGACGGCAGGACGGGGGGAGGACGGGGGCAGGGACTGGGGGGAGGGACGGGGGGTAGGTAACGGGGGGAGGGACGGGGGGAGGGGACGGGTGGGAGGGACGGGGTGGAGGGACTGGGGAGGGACGGGGGTAGGCGGGCCGGGAGGTTGGGGGGACTGGGGGAGGGGAACGGGGGGAGGTAACGTGTGGGAGGGACGGGTGGCAGGGACGGGGCCAGGTACTGGCCGGGACGGGGCCAGGGACTGGAGGCGGGGCCAGGACGGGGCCAGGGACGGGCCAGGGAGTGGGCCAGGACGGGCCAGGGACGGGGCCAGGGGCGGGAGGACGGGGGTACGGGGTGGAGTTAGGGGGGATGGGGGGAGGGACGGGGGGGAGGGACGGGGGGAGGGGGGGGGGACGGTGGGGAGGGGGTGGGGGGGACGGGGGGGGAGGGGACGGGGGAGGGACGTGTCAGAGACGGGGCAGTGACTTGGGCGGGACGGGGCAGTGACGGGGGCAGGGACGGGCCAGGGACTGGGGCAGGGACGGGCCAGGGGACGGGGCCAGGGGCGGGGCCAGGGACGGGGGCCAGGACGGGGCCAGGGACGGGCCAGGACGTGCCAGGGGACGGGTCCAGGGCCGGGGCCGGGACGGGGCGGGTACGGGGGGGAGGGACGGGGGAGGAGGGGGGGGAAGGAGCGGGGGTGGGAGGGACGGGGGTAGGGACGTTTGGGGAGTTGACGGCTTTGAGGTTACGGTGGTGGAGGTGACGGGTTGGAGTTGACTGTTTGAGTTACTTGGTGGGGAGTGACGGTGTTGTGAGGTACGTGGGTGAGGTTACTTTTTGGGAGTTGTACGTTTTTAAGTGACGTGGGGGGAGGACGGGGGGGCGTACGGGAGGGGGGACTGGGGTAGTTACTGGGTTTAGGGCGGGGGGTAGTGACTGGGGGGAGGGCCGGGGGTGTAGGGACGGGGGGAGTGACGGGGGTGGAGGGGTACGGGTGGGAGGGACGGTGGGGAGGACGGGTGGGGAAGGGGACGGGGGGGAGGGACGGGGAGGACTGGGGGGTGGGGAGGAGACGGGCGGGGGGAGGGACTGGGGGAGGGGGGACGGGGGGGAGGACGGGTGGGAAGGCCTTGTGGGGGAGGGACTGTGGGGAGGTGACGGGTGGGGAGTAGTACGGGAGGAGGGGACGGGGGGGGAGGGACGCGTGGAGGACGGGGGGGGGGGGGGACGGGGGGTGGACTCGGGGGGTAGGTACGGGAGGGGTAGGGGGTGGGGGGAGGACGGGGGGGAGGGGACGGTGTGGATGACGGTGGCTAGGCTGAGGGGGAGGGACGGGGGGGGAGGGACGGGGGGGAGGGACGGGGGAGGGAGGGGAGGGACGAGGGGTCGAGGCTGGGGGACGGGGGGCAGGGACGGGGGCAGGGACGGGCAGGGGGGGGACGGGGGGGACGGGGCCAGGGGGGGCCAGGGGACGGGGCCAGGGACGGGGCCAGGGACGGGGCCAGGGACTGTGCCGGGACGGGCCAGGACGGGGGAGGGACGGGGGGGAGGGACGGGGGGGAGGGGACGGGGGGGAGGGGGGGGGAGGGACGGGGGGGAGGGGGACGGGGGGGGACGGGGGGGAGGGACGGGGGGAGGGACGGGGGGGAGGGGGGAGGGACGGGGGAGGGACGGGGGGAGGGACGGGGGGGAGGGACGGGGTGGAGGGACGGGGGGGAGGGACGGGGGGGCGGGGGGGACGGGGCCAGGGACGGGGCCAGGACGGGGCCAGGGACGGGGCCAGGGACGGGGCCAGGGAGGGACGGCCAGGGAACGGGCCAGGGACGGGGGGGGGCCAGGACTGGGCCAGGGACGGGGGCGACGGGCGGGGGACGGGGGGAGGGGGGGTGGGGGGGACGGGGGGGGACGGGGGGGAGTGACGGGGGAGGGGCTGGGGGAGGGACGGGGGGGAGGGACGGTTGGAAGGGGGGAGGGACGGGGGGAGGGACTGTGGGTAGGTACGGGGGAGGGCGTTTATGACGGTGTGATGTTACTTTGTTTAGGTACTTGGGGTGAGGTACCTTTTTTGAGTTACTGGTGGAGGTACTTTGTTAGGTATACTTTGTTATTTTACGTTTTGGAGGCTTTTTTGGTGGACTTTTTTGTGAGGACTGGGTGTAGTTACGTGTGGTAGTGACTTTTTTTTAGTTCCTTTTTTAGGTTACTTTTTTGTAGTTACGGTGCGAGTGGTACGGGTAGGTTACGTGCCAGGGACGGGGCCAGTACGGGCCAGACTGGTCCAGGTGACGGGCAGGACTGGGCCAGGGCCGGGGCCGGGACGGGGCCAGGGACGGGGCAGGGACGGGGCCAGGACGGGCCAGGGACTGGGCGGTACTGGGCAAGGGGGACTTTGGGGAGGGACGGGGGGGGAGGGACGGGGGGGGAGGGGGACGGGGGGGACGGGACGGGGGGGAGGGCCGGGGGGAGGGACGGGGGGAGGGACGGGTGGAGGGGACGGGGGGGAGGGGGGACGGGGGGGGGTGAACGGGGGAGGACGGTGGGAGGGACGGTGCAGGTACGGGTAGGGACGGGGGGGAGGGGGAGACGGGGGGGAGGGACGGGGGAGGACGGGGGGGGGGGGGGGGGGAGGACGGGGTGAGGGGACGGGGCCAGGACGGGGGAGGTACGGGGCCAGGACGGGGGGAAGGGGACGGGGAGGGGCGGGGGACGGGACGGGGGAGGGACGGGGGGAGGGACGGGGAGACGGGGGGGACGGGGGGGAGGACGGGGGGAGGGACGGGGGGGACGGGGGGGGGGGGACGGTGGGAGGACGGGGGGAGTGGGGGGAGGGACGGGGGGGAGGGACGGGGGGGGAGGGACGGGGGGGAGGGACGGGGGGGAGGGACCGGGGGGGAGGGACGGGGGGGGGGACGGGGGGAGGGACGGGGGGGGACGGGGGGGACGGGGGAGGGACGGGGGGAGGACGGGGGAGGGACGGGGGGTACGGGGGGGGGGGGGACGGGTGGGAGGGGACGGGGAGGGACGGGGGGAGGGGAGGGACGGGGAGGACGGGGGAGGGGGGGAGGGGAGGGGGGAGGACGGGGGCAGGGACGGGGGGGGAGGGACGGGGGGGGGACGGGGGGGGGGGGGAGGGGGGGGAGGGACGGGGGGACGTGACGGGGGGGGGGGGACGTGGGGGAGGGACGGGGGGGGAGGGACGGGGGGGGAGGGACGGGGGGGAGGGACGGGGGGAGGGACGGGGTGGAGGGACGGGGGGAGGGACGGGGGGGGGGGGGACGGGGGGAGGGACGGGGGAGGGGGGACGGGGGGGGAGGGACGTGGGGGGAGGGACGGGGGGGAGGGACGGGGGGGAGGACGGGGGGGAGGACGGGGGGGAGGGGACGGGGGGGAGGGGACGGGGGAGGGACGGGGGGGAGGGGACGTGGGGGGAGGGACGGGGGAGGGGACGGGGGGAGGGGGGGGGGACGGGGGGGGAGGGTACGGGGGGGAGGGACGGGGGAGGGAGGGGGGAGGGAGGGAGGGTGGGGGGACGGGGGGGACGGGGGGGACGGGAGGGACGGGGGGGAGGGGGGGACGGGGGGGACGGGGAGGGACGGGGGCAGGGACGGGGGGGAGGGGGGGGGGGACGGGGGGGGAGGGGGGGGGAGGGACGGGGGAGGGACGGGGGGGGAGGGGACGGGGGGAGGGGGGACGGGGGGGAGGGACGGGGGGGAGGGGACGGGGGGGAGGGACGGGGGGGAGGGGGACGGGGGGGAGGGACGGGGGGGAGGGACGGGGGGGGGACGGGGGGACGGGGGGGACGGGGGGACGGGGGGGAGGGACGGGGGAGGGACGGGGGAGGGACGGGAGGGACGGGAGGGACGGGCCAGGGACGGTGGGGGGGGACGGGGGGACGGGGGAGGGACGGGGGGAGGACGGGGGGGAGGGGGCAGGGACGGGGGGAGGGGGGGACGGGGGCAGGGACGGGGGGGAGGGACGGGGGGAGGGGGCGGGGGGGAGGGGACGGGGGGGAGGGGTGGGGAGGGACGGGGGGAGGGACGGGGGGAGGGACGGGGGGGGGACGGGGGGGGGGGAGGACGGGGGGGAGGGGGGGGGGGAGGGGACGGGGCCAGGGGGGGGAGGGCGGGGGGACGGGCCAGGGCGGGGCCAGGGACGGGGCCAGGTACGGGGGACGGGACGGGGGCCAGGGACGGGGCCAGGGGAGGGGGGAGGACGGGGGGGACGGGGGAGGGACGGGGAGGGACGGGGGGGGGGACGGGGGGAGGGGACGGTGGGAGGGGACGGGGGGGGAGGACGGGGGGGAGGGACGGGGGGGAGGGTGGGGGAGGGACGGGGGAGGGACTGGGGGGAGGACGGGGGGGAGGGGTGAGGGGGGGGAGGGACGGGGGGAGGGTACGGGGGGAGGGACGTGGGGGGGAGGGACTGGGGGGGGACGGGGGGGAGGGACGGGTTGGTGGGGTGGAGGTGGGGAGGGACGGGGGGAGGACGGTGGGAGGGGACTGGGGGAGGGACGGGGGGGGGACTGGGCCGGGAGGGGGGGGTAGGGACGGGGCCAGGGACGGGGCCAGGGACGGGGGCCAGGGACGGGGCCAGGGACGGGCCAGGGGGGGCCAGGGACGGGGCCAGGGACTGGGCCAGGCGGGGGCCAGGGACGGGCCAGGACGGGGCAGGACGGGGGGGAGGACGGGTGGGAGGGACGGGGTGGGGGACTGGGGGAGGGACGGGGGGAGACGGGGGGGAGGGGACTGGGGGGAGGGACGGGGTGGAGGGACGGGGGGGAGGACGGGGGGGAGGGACGGGGGGAGGGACGGGGGGGGAGGACGGGGGGGAGGGACGGGGGGGAGGGACGGGGGGAGGGACGGGGGGAGGGGACGGGGGGGGAGGGACGGGGGGGGGCGGGGCCAGGACGGGGGGGGCGGGGCCAGGTGGGCCAGGGACGGGGCAGGGGACGGGGGGAGGACGGGGGGAGGGACGGGGGGGGGGACGGGGGGGAGGGACGGGGAGGGAGGGGGAGGGGACGGGGGAGGGACGGTGGAGACGGGGGGAGGGGGGGGGAGGCGGGGGGAGGGACGGGGTAGGGACGGAGGGACGGGGGGGGGACGTGGGGGAGGACTGTGGGAGGGACGGGGTGAGTGTACGTTGTGGAGGGACGGGGGGAGGGACTTGGGTGGTAGTTGTACTTGGTTAGTACGTGGGTAGGTACTTTTGTTAGTGTCCGTTGGGTGTGTACGGTGGGAGGCGTTTTTAGGTACTTGTTTGTAGTCCGGTGGGGAAGGGACGGGGGGAGGGTACGGGGCCAGGACGGCCGCCGTGGGTCCCGGGACGGGCCAGGACTTGGCCGGGCGGTGCCGGACCGGCCAGGGACGGGCCAGGGGACGTGGGGGGAGGCGGGGCCAAGGACGGGGGCCGGGACTGGGCAGGGACGGGGCAGGACGGGGGGGAGGGACGGGGGGAAGGTGACGGGTGGGAGGGACGGGGGTAGGACGGGGGTGGAGGGTACGGGGGGGAGGACGGTGGGAGGACGGGGGGGAGGGACGGGGGGGAGGGGACGGGGGGGAGGGGACGGGGGGAGGTACTGGGGGAGGTGACGGGGTTAGGTACGTGGGGAGGGACTGGGGGAGGATGGGGGGGAGGGATTTTTGGAGGGACGTTGGGGAGTGACGTTTGTAGTTGACGTGCCAGGTGCGGGGCCGCAGGGACGGGGCCAGGGACGGGGCCCGGGACGGGGCCAGGGGACGGGGCCAGGGAACGGGGGGAGGGACGTGGGAGGACTGGGTGAGGGGACGTGGGGGAGGGATTGGGAGGGGACGTGGGGAGGGACTTGTGGGAGGTGACGGTGTTGTGACGTGGGGAGGGACGTGGGGAGGGACTGGGGAGGGACGGGGGGAGGGACGGGGGAGGCTGGGTAGGACGGGGGGGGACGGGGGTGAGGGGGGGGGGAGGGGGGTGGGACGGGGGGGAGGGGGGACGGGGGGGAGGGACGGGGGAGGGGACGGGGGAGGGGACGGGGGGGGAGGGCGTGGGGGGGGGAGGGGACGGGGGGGAGGGACGGTGGAGGGACGGGGCCAGGGACGGGGCCAGGGCGGTGGAGGACGGGCGGGGGATGGGACGGGACGGGACGGGGGGAGGGACGGTGGACGGGGGAGGACGGGGGGGAGGGACGGGGGGAGGGGGGGGGGGGAGGGCGGGGTGAGGGACGGGGGGGAGGGGACGTGGGGGGAAGGGGACTGTGGGGAGGGGACGTGGGGGAGGGACGGGGGAGGCGGGGGGGGGGACGGGGGGGAGGGGGGGGGGAGGGGGGGGGGGACGGGGGGAGGGGGGGGGAGGGGACGGGAGGGAGGGGCTGGGGGGAGGGGAGGGGGGGAGGGGGGGGAGGGGAGGGACGCGGGGCCAGGGAGGGGCCGGGGGGATGGGGGGGGACGGGGGTGCAGGGGGGGGCGGGGAGGGGGGGGGGACGGGGGGAGGGAACGGGGGGGAGGGCGGGGGAGGACTGGGGGGAGGGACGGGGGAGGACGGGGGGGAGGGGGGGGGACGGGGGGGGGGGGGAAGGACGGGGGGGATGGGCCGGGGGGGAGGGCGGGGCCAGGACGGGCCAGGGACGGGCCAGGACTGGGCAGGGAACGTGGCCCGGACGGGGGGAGGTCGGGGGGGAGGGACGGGGGTATGACTGTGGGGAGGACGGGGGGGGAGGGGACGGGGGGGAGGAGGGGGGGAGGGGGGAGGGGACGGGCGCAGGGACGGGGCCAGGACGGGCCGAGGGACGGGGCCAGGGACGGGGCCAGGGACGGGGGGAGGGACGGGGGCCAGGGGGCCAGGGACGGGGCAGGGACGGGGGGCAGGGACGGGGGGGAGGACGGGGGGGAGGGACGGGGGGGAGGGGACGGGGGGGAGGACGGGGGGGAGGGACGGGGGGGAGGGACGGGGGGGGCCAGGGGCAGGACGGGTCAGGGACGGGGGGGACGGGACAGGGACGGGGGAGGGACGGGGGAGGGGGACGGGGGGGAGGGACGGTGGGGGAGGGACGGGGGGGAGGGACGGGGGGAGGGACGGGGTGAGGGACTGGTGGGACGGGGGACTGGGGGGAGGGACTGGGGTGGGAGGGGGACGGGGGGAGGGACGGGGGAGGGACGGGACGGGGGAGGGGACGGGGGGGGGAGGGACGACGGGGGGGAGGGACGGGGCCAGGGACGGGGGCCAGGGACGGGCACAGGTACGGGGCCAGGGACTGGGCCAGGGACGGGGCCAGGGACGGGGGCAGGCCGGGGGAGGACGGGGCCAGGGACGGGGGCAGGGGACGTGGGGGGAGGGGACGGGGCAGGGACGGGGGGGGCAGGGACGGGGGGGAGGACGGGGGGAGGGGGACGGGGGGGAGGCGGGTGGGGAGGGGTACTGGGGGAGGGACGGGGTGAGGACGGGGGGGTAAAAGGAGACGGGGGTGAGGGAACGTGGGGGTGGAGGTACGGTTTGTTCGTTACTTTCCAGTTACTGGTCCCAGTTCTTTTAGGAGGAGGGGGAGAAAGAGCTGGAAGCATAGGAGCGAAGGGAAGAAGACTGAGCGGAAGAGAAGCAGACGAAGAGGGAGTAGATAAAAATCGAAGGAGACATAATGGGGAGCAAAAGAAGAGAAAAAAGGCGTAGCTCAGCTGTAGGGTGAGGGTGAACAGGAAGAAAAAGCCAATAAGAGGGGAGAAAAGTAGGAAACGAAGAGGAGAAGTAGGAAAGGATTAAAAAAGAAAGCAAAGGACAGGGATCGGAGGGGGACAGGAGGAATGGAAACGGCCAAGGAGGGTGTCGACAGAAAAACGACTGAGCGATGGATGTAGACGGGGAGCCAGGTACGGGCCACGGACGGTTTTGCCAGGGAACTTTTCCATGACTGGTGCCCGGTACGTGGGCCAGGGACTGGGCATTACGGTGCCAGGACTTTTTTCGTTACGGTGTCGGGTACGGTGGAGGACGGGGTGAGTGACGGGGGAGGGACTGGTGGAGGGAGGGGGGAGGGACGGGGGGAGGGTACTTGGTGGTAGTTACGGTGGGGAGGGGACGTTGGGGGAGTGACTTGGGTGAGTGTGACGGTTTTAGTGGACGGGGGAGGGACTGGGGGAGGGGACGGGTGAGGGACGGGTGGGAGGTACGGGGGTGAGGGACGGTGGTTAGGGACTGTGGGAGGTACGGGGGGAGGGACTTGGTGAGTTACGGGGGGAGGGACGGGGGGGAGGGGACGGGGGGGAGGGACGGGGCGAGGGACTGGGTGGGACGGGGCCAGGGTACGGGGCCAGGCTGGGCCAGGGACGGGGCCAGGGACTGGGTGCCCGGGACGTGGCCAGGGACTGTGCCAGGGACTGGGCCAGGACGGGGCCAGGGGACTGGGATGACGGGGGGCAGGGGGGCGGGTGAGTACGGGGGGAGGGACGGGGGGGGAGGGCGGGGGGGGTGAGGGGGGTGTGGGGGGACGGTGGGAGGTGACTGGGGGGAGGACGGGGGGAGGGGGACGGGGGGAGGGGCGGGGCAGGGACGGGGTAGGGCGGGGGCCAGGGGGGGGGCGGGGGGCCAGGACGGTGCCAGGGACGGTGCAGGGACGGGGGGAGGGGACGGGGGGGAGGGAGGGGGGGGAGGGCTGGGGGAGGACGGGGGGAGGGGGGGGGGGGACGTGGGGAGGGACGGGGGGGAGGGGGACGGGGGGGAGGACGGGGGTGAGGGACGGGGGGAGGGACGGGGGGAGGACGGGGGGGGAGGACGGGGGGGGAGGGACGGGGCCAGGGCGGTGCCAGGGACCGGGGGGGCCAGGGACGGGGCCACGGACGGGGCCAGGGACTGGGCCAGGGACGGGCCAGGGGAGGGGCAGGGACGGGGCAGGGACGGGGCAGGGACGGGGGGAGGGATGGGGAGGGACGGGGGGGAGGGACGTGGGGGAGGGACGGGGGGGAGGGGAGGGGGGGAGGGGGACGGTGGGGGAGGGGACGGGGGGGGAGGGGACGGGGGAGGGACGGGGGAGGGGCGGGGGCAGGGACGGGCAGGGGGACTGGGGGAGGGGATGGGGGGGAGGGACTTGGGGGAGGGACGGGGTGTAGGGACGGGGGAGGGACGGGGGGAGGGACGGGTGGAGGGACGGGGGGGAGGGACGGGGGGAGGGACGGGGGAGGGACGTGGGGAGTACGGGGGGAGGGAGGGGGAGGGTCCTTTGGTTAGTTACGTGTGTAGTTACGTTGGGTAGGGACTGGGGAGGACGGGGGGGAGTGACGGGCCAGGGACGGGGCCAGTGCGGGGCCGGACGGGGGCCAGGGACGGTGCCAAGGGACGTGGCCGTACGGGGGGAGGGACGGGGTAGGGCCGGGGGGAGGACGGGGTGGGGGGACGGGGAGGACGGGGGGAGACTGGGGTGAGGACGTTGGGCAGTACTTGTTGAGGTGACTTTGTGAGTGACTGGGGTTAGTTACTGGTGGAGGTCCGTTGGTTTTGAGTGACGTTTGTTTTCGGGCTGTTTTTAGTTACTTTTTTTTTTTTTTAGTTACTTTTTTTACTTTTTTAGTTACTTTTTTAGTTACTTTTTTAGTTACTTTTTTTTAGTTCTTTTTTTTACTTTTTAGTTACTTTTCAGTTACTTTAGTTATTTTTCAGTTACTTTTCAGTACTTTTTTAGTTACTTTTTTTACTTTTTAGTTACTTTTTTAGTTACTTTTTTAGTTACTTTTTTTAGTTACTTTTTTTTAGTTACTTTTTTTTAGTTACTTTTTTTAGTTACTTTTTTTAGTTACTTTTTTAGTTACTTTTTTAGTTACTTTTTTTAGTTACTTTTTTAGTTACTTTTTTAGTTACTTTTTTTTTAGTTACTTTTTTTTTACTTTTTTAGTTACTTTTTTTTTAGTTACTTTTTTTAGTTTTTTTTACTTTTTTTAGTTTACTTTTTTTAGTTACTTTTTTTAGTTACTTTTTTTAGTTACTTTTCAGTTACTTTTCCAGTTACTTTTCCAGTTACTTTTCCAGTTACTTTTCCAGTTACTTTTGTTACTTTTTTAGTTTACTTTTTTTAGTTACTTTTTTTAGTTACTTTTTTTAGTTACTTTTTTTAGTTACTTTTTTTAGTTTTTTTTAGTTACTTTTTTTTAGTTACTTTTTTTAGTTACTTTTTTTAGTTACTTTTTTTAGTTACTTTTTTTAGTTAGTTACTTTTTTTTAGTTACTTTTTTTTTTTTTTAGTTTAGTTACTTTTTTAGTTACTTTTTTTAGTTACTTTTTTTAGTTACTTTTCCAGTTACTTTTCCAGTTACTTTTCCAGTTACTTTTCCAGTTACTTTTCCAGTTACTTTTCCAGTTACTTTTTTCCAGTTACTTTTTCAGTTACTTTTTCAGTTACTTTTTTTCAGTTACTTTTTTCAGTTACTTTTTCAGTTACTTTTCAGTTACTTTTCAGTTACTTTTTTCAGTTACTTTTTCAGTTACTTTTTTAGTTACTTTTTTTAGTTACTTTTTTTAGTTACTTTTTTTAGTTACTTTTTTTAGTTACTTTTTTTAGTTACTTTTTTTAGTTACTTTTTTTAGTTACTTTTTTTAGTTACTTTTTTTAGTTACTTTTTTAGTTACTTTTTTTTAGTTACTTTTTTTAGTTACTTTTTTTTTTAGTTACTTTTTTTAGTTACTTTTTTTAGTTACTTTTTTAGTTACTTTTTTAGTTACTTTTTTTTTAGTTACTTTTTTAGTTACTTTTTTTTAGTTACTTTTTTTAGTTACTTTTTTTAGTTACTTTTTTTTAGTTACTTTTTTTAGTTACTTTTTTTAGTTTTTTTAGTTACTTTTTTTAGTTAGTTACTTTTTTTAGTTACTTTTTTTTAGTTACTTTTTTTTAGTTAGTTACTTTTTTTAGTTACTTTTTTTAGTTACTTTTTTTTAGTTACTTTTTTTAGTTACTTTTTT